AAAAAAAAAAAAAGAGGAAGCACATAAAATGGAAAAAAGAGCATGATCATACCTCTTCGGCAATTGATCGAACACTTCGTGATCAGAAATTCGGGATATCAATGTGCATAAACTCTCTAACGTGACCTGCAAAATTTAAATAAAGCAGCAGCAACACACAAATTAGCATCCCCAAAACAATTCTCTATAAACGAAAAAAAAAAGAAAGAAAAAAAAGAGGAGGAGAAGATAGATGAAGTACTGTCGATTCGAAGGTGGAAAAAATAAGAATGGGTGGAGCCTCTTTTATAGCTGTGGAGAGGAGTTCGTGCGGCCTGAAGACTTAGGGAAATCAGAGGAGTTCGAGTCGTGATAGGATTTTGTTTGAAAGTCCTGCTAGGAGAAGTGGATTCTAGAAGTACTCTTTCTTTCTCTTAAAACAAGCAGGAGATAAAGATAGAGGGGACTTTTGTTTTCTTCATGTTTCTCGACCAAGCTGTTACAACGTTTAAGAGAGTTCCTTTTAATTTTGGGCTCTATTTGTGTGGCAAGATTGTTGGAAATTTTCTTTTGAAATTTTGGAACTCCATTTACGTGGCCGGTGTTGTAAATCCTGCTGTATAAAGGAATTCATTGCACTCATTGGGCCTAAATATATGATTTTGAGCCTAATCAAATTAGCTGATAGAGTTTTGGAGTGGGCTAATAATTTAAATGTACATGGGCCTAAATATATGATTTTGTCTTGTGATAGTTGGACATTTGAGTGGATAATAAACCCATTTGAAGTTAATTAGTCCAAGTTTATACAATTGGATTAATTCATTAAGTGTATCGGGCCCTCATAAGTCCATAAGTTCGTATTATGTGCTCAAAGCCCAAGTCAGAAAAAGTCGGGACTTATTCATTCCATGACACGTTGTCCGTGAACAAGTCTCGAGGGGGCATTTGTAGACAATTAAATTTTGAGCCAATAAAATGGCGAAAAGTGTCAAATTCTATGTCAAAATCAATTTAATAATTTTCTATTTTATTTGGGAAATTAATCAAATTTTAATTCCTAAATCAAATAGTTAATTAATTGATTATTTAATATATATTGTTGGCCAAT